TTTTTTTTAAAGCTGGGTTTGGTGGCATGAGTTTGGTAGAGATGGTAGACTCTCAGAAGCTGACTAGACAGCCTGTCTAGCCACTGAGTACCAGGTCCCAGTGAGAGACCCTATTTCCAGAAAAATAAACTGAATTGTTCCCAAAGAATGACAAGTGTGACTGGCACCGCCTCCCCCTTCCCCCCCTCCCCGGCATAGCCAATTCACCTAAACAACAGCATGAAGTAGCAGCCCGGCCTGTCATCTGCCAATGCCCTACTTTCTGTGTGTCTTCGTGAGGTATCTCTAACCTAGGAGCTCTCTCTCTCTCTCTCTCTCTCTCTCTCTCTCTCTCTCTCTCTCTCTCTCTCTCTGTGTGTGTGTGTGTGTGTGTGTGTGTGTGTGCGTGCGTGTGCATGTCTGTGTCTCTGTGTCTGCTCACCATCATTATGAAGGATGATGCTGGCTTCTGAAGGATGATCTTGCATCACTCAAATTAACCGTTCTATCACCCAGGATGAAGCAGTTATGCAGTATGTTCAATCTTACTCTGGGTCTCCACACGGTCACCTGGCCTGTATTTGTCTTTCCATGCTATTCATCCATTCATTCACTCACTCACTCATTCATTCATTCATTCATGCAGTCACACATTCCCTCAGCAGTGGTTTAAATGCACATTATATGTGAGGTATAAGTTTGGTGGTCAGCTACTATGCAATCAGCTCTAACCAGCTCTTCTTCCTCCCCTCCTCATCCAAAGTGATGCTTGCCTGACCACTATGGGGGAGCAGCAAAGCCAGAGGAGGAGATGGGGCCTCTGTCCTAAGAGGAGAGCAGACTCAGGGAATCCCGAAACCCATAAGTAGGAGGCAAGACTCCCAGCTACAACTGGGAGATGCGACTATAAAGCTAAACAAAACTGACAAAGACAGCTACTTCTGAAGTTGATCAAATGTGTGAAACCATTAGAAAATGCTTTTCATTGCACTAATGGCTGGACTTTGGGGAAGGCTCAGTACAAGTCTGTGGCTTCCCTGTTTGGGGCTGCTCCTTGCCCAAGGTCTCCAGCTCAGTCCTTAGAGAGGTTGTGCCAGGATGGGGCCGTCGTGGAGATCAGGCACATGACAGGAATGGTCCATTCAGTTGTGAGCAGTCAGCAACAGCCCCGCTCAGCAGAAGGCAAGCAGCCTCTGTTGTCTTGGCAGCAGGAATGAGGGAGACTGCCACTCTTGCTTGGGGCTTACATTGGTGCTGGGACTGTGTGCATGTACAGTGGAGTCTGGAGAGGACCCTACACGCTCTTGCCAGACTTAAGCCTAAACAAATTGCCAACAAGGGGCTCAGAAGGAATGGAGAGCTAAGGTAAGCTGAAGGGCTACTTGAATGGAGAGAACCCCTTGTCTTCCCACAGACCTACTGAGAGGAAGATGGGCATCGAAGAAACTCATTATGGAGTTTGCTTTCAACATGGCAAGATTAGCCATTTGGGCAAGAAACTGCTCTTGCCTAGACTGTTTGACTGTTGCTATATAAACTGGACATGCAGGACCCACAGGAAAGTGACTGCTGAACTCAAACAGTCTTTCAGGGTTCCTGCTTCATGGAAGAGTCTACCAGACTTTCTGTAGGACACAGAAAAATGACTGACAGAGTGCCAATGCAGGTAGACAGTTTGAAATTTCCTGCTTTGCTGAGAAGACTTCCAGACACACTGTGGTGGCCTTATGGGCTGAAGATGGATGCCCCAGTGTTACAGAGGAACTTTGGGTGACTGTCCAGGCAGCGAGATGTCTCTGTCAATTCTAGTGCTTATATATTATCCTTCTGTGGTCTTTGATGGAGTTGAAGACAGTTATAATTATAGTTTTCCTTGGTTATAATAAAAGATAAGCTACATATAAGACTTTAGACTCACAAAGATAGGATAGATGATAGTTTCTTTAAATCTTACTAAATGTTAATGGACAAAATATTGTAACTATGTTCTTACTTGATAACTGTTCTGTTATATATAATTTGACTATGTTAAAGTTAAAACCTTTCTTTTTATTTAGACAGAAAAGAGGAGATGATGGAGAAGTCCTGTGTATATGTCAATAAAACACTGTTGGCCAATAGGGAAGCAAGATAGGTGGGACTAGGAGTCGAGGAGGATTCTGGGAAAGAGAGACACAGGCAGACAACAATGTAGCCTGCCAGAGGAGTAAGAGGTCTGGACCCTTTCTCCAGTAAGAGAAATACTTAGATTAACAATTATGGGTTAAATACTTAAGTCAGAGATAGCCAGTAAGAAACAAGCAAATGGCCAACAGCTTCATAATTAATATGGCGTCTTGTGTGTTATTTGGGGGTTCAGACAGCATGGCAGGGCCTTCACTCTACAGAAAAGGAACAGGTTATGGGAAACAAGGGCAAGCATGTCTGTCAATATGCGTGCAATGCATGCCCCAGGCAGATGGAGACGGACAGCCAGGAACAGAAGACTGGAACTTTCCAATTGATGGAAAGTATTATTTTTCACAGGTAGTAAACCCAAGGAGGATGGAGAGAGAGAGAGAGAGAGAGAGAGAGAGAGAGAGAGAGAGAGAGAGAGAGCTGTGGGCAGATGGACAGACGGACAGTGCCAGGGTTGATGTTATGGGAAAATGAGATGACAAAATTTGCAAAGAAAAGACAAGGCCTGAAAGTAGCAGGAACAAATGGCCCTGGTGACATGGAGGCGTGCCCATGTGATTGGCAGGTGACCACACCTCTCAACAATGAAAACTGGAAGTAGAGGGAGATATTCAGAGAGCCAGAAGAAAAATGAAAACTGTTCATCAGTGCCAACGTATGTGAAAGCTGACTTGCAAAAGCGAGAAAGGCAAATGGCAGCCTCCCCTGAGGTCCAGAGAGAAGTCCCCGCTATGGAGCTGTGTTAGAGGAAACCCCGGAAGACGTGTCCGCTAGCGGGACGGCAGCCCTGGAAGAACCGAGGAGACCGGAGATGACAGAACCAAGGATCCATGGGAATACTCTCCAAACATGCGTTTTTGTTATGTACCACTTTATTTTTAATCTGTTTTAACCGATATGCCAAAATTCTACTTGTTAAAGACACTGGTCACTTTCCACAGTCAGATTAAGCTGCAGTCTTCTTGTACCACTAATGTGTGACTTTGGGGATAAGAGTCCTGTGGGAATTCAGGGGGAAACATGGTCAAATCTACATTATTTGCTTGCAGTGGTGAGCTCTAGTCACATGTTCTATGTAAGAGAGTCGTCATGGCAGCTCCAAGTCACAGACGGAAGGAAAAAGACAGAAAAAGATGGTTGTATCAAAGCTAGAGAGACAGCTGGAACTGGCCCCGTCACTCCGCAATCTTAACAGTTGCCAGGTTGAGAAGAGGAACAGTAACTATGTCAGGGCTGATCACAGGGACTAAGACACGAACGCATCAGCAAGCGGCTATGGTCTGATCTGAAAAGACCCCAGAGCAGCGGCCCTCAACCCTCCTAACGCTGGGACCGTTTAACACAGTTCTCATGCTGTGGTGACCCCCAACCATAAACTTACTTTGTTGCTACTTCATAACTCTGATTTCGCTACTGTTGTGAATCATCACATAAATATCTGATATTCCGGATATCTGATACATGACCCCTGCAAAAGGGTCATTTGACCCCGAAGGGGTTGCGACCCACGGGTTGAGGACCATTGCCCTAAAGGCTTAAAGAGCAAGAGGCTTGGTTCCCAGCCTGTGCAGCTACTGGACCTTAAAGAGGTGGAAATTTAGTGGGAAGAGGTTGGGTCACTGGGGGCCTGCTCGTAGGAGACACTGGATACCTTCCTTCTGTCCTTATTTCCTGGCTGCAGTGGGTGAGTAGCCAGGCCTCTGGCACACATTTCTGGAAAGGTACTGTGCTGCCAGGAACCCAAAGCAAAGAACAAGTGACTATAACCTTCTCTCTTAGTAAACTGATTTAAAAACTTAGCTTTAAAAATTTTAGCAACAAGCCGGGTGTTGGTGGCGCACGCCTTTAATCCCAGCACTCGGGAGGCAGAGGCAGGCAGATCTCTGTGAGTTCGAGGCCAGCCTGGTCTACAGAGCAAGTTCCAGGACGGACTCCAAAAAACAATACAGAGAAACTCTGTCTCGAAAAACAACAACAACAAAAAACTTTAGCAACAAAAATTATCTTGTTTCTATTTCATAGCTGTAATGAATCATAATATCAATATTGGATATGCAGGATATCTGATACGTGACTTCTAAAGAGGTTGCGAATCATTGGGCTCATCACCAGGAAGCGGGAACCTCGATTGAAGAATGACCTAGATCAGATTGCCCTTGGCCACGTCTGGGAGAGACTGATTTGATCAATGGCTGATGCTGAAAGGCCAGGCCATCTGGGGGTAGCGTCATCCTTGGGAAGCTGGTCCTGGGTTGTGTAAGAAAGGTCACTAAACACGAGGCAGAGAATGAGGCAGTCAGTGGCCTTCCTCCATGGTTTCAAAACGCTTCAGCTACTGGCCTGACTTCCCTTGGGAATGAACTATGACCTCAGTGTGTGAGCCTAATAAATCCTTTCCTTCCCGAGTTGATTTTGCCTTGGACAATGATTTTATGTCACCTCGACACAAGCTAGAGTCACATAAAAGGAGGACATCTCATCTGAGAAAATGCCTCCACACGGTCCAGCTGTAGGGCACATTCTCTTCATTAGTGGTTTATGTCAGAGGCTCATGGTGGGCGGGGCCATCTCTGGGTTGATGGTCCTGGGTTCCATAAGAAAGTAGGCTGAGCCAGCCATGGTGAGCAAGCCAGGAAGCACATTCCTCATGGCGCCTGCTTCAGCTCCTGCCTCCAGGAGTTCCTGTCCTGACTTCCTTTGATGATGGGGGTGATATGGGAGTGTGAGCTTTAAACCCGTTCCTCCCCATCGGTCATGGTGTTTCATCACAGCGACAGTAACCCTAAATAGGACAGACCAAGACAGGGGACAGCTTCCCAACTCACTCTTTGAAGCTGCTGTCCTTCTGATGTCAAGACGGACAAAGGATTATACAAATTAAGACTCTGCCGTCCCTCATGAACACACACAACAGTGCCCAAGCAGAAATGCCAGCAAAGTAAATTCCGGTAAGATGTAGAAACGTAAGCCATTACTACCTGAGAGATGCGGTCCCTGTATGTCTGTTCATCTGTTAACATCAACAGAGCCCGGGACATACACCATGTGACCCTTCCACAAGGCGCAAAGGTACCTGGTCGAATCAAGTTGCGCTGGCTTCCTGCTACAAGGGACGTCCCAGCGGGTCCTCTGGCAGAATGGTGCCTGGATCGATGGGTATGAGGTCCAGCAGAGGGGCTTAACCCCCAAGAACTGTATATTTGCCCCTCATCTCTGCAAGCATCGGTCAAGAGCAAACTTCTGCTCCTTAATAATATTCTCCAGGTGTGATGGCTGATCTTGGCTGTCAGCTTGACCACGTCTGGAATCAACTAAAACCGAAGCAGCTGGGCATGTCCGTGAGTTCTCTTAACTGGATCATTTGAGGTCAGAAGACCCACCCTGCATTGGGCCACGCCTTCTGGTGTCAGTACTCCTAAAAGGACATGGAAGAAGCAAGCTCTTGCTGTCTGCCTGCCCTAACTCTCGCCGACAAGTTTATCCATCCTCCCGAGGAGGCAGTATCACAGTATTTTAGTACCGTGATGGTTTTAAAGCCCACGTCTTTGGGATTTCAATATAAACCAGCTGAGACATCCAGACTCTTAGAACAACTACCAGAATCTTGGCCTTTCTGCTGGGAGACAGGCACTGTCAGACTAGCCGGACCACAGCCTAAAAGCCACTCTAAGAAATCAGTGTGTGTGTGTGTGTGTGTGTGTGTGTGTGTGTGTGTGTGTGTATTCTATTAGTCCTATTCCTGAAAAGAACCATGATTAAACCAGGAGACAGAGAGACAGACAGAGAGAGAGAGAGAGAGAGAGAGAGAGAGAGAGAGAGAGAGAGAGAGAGAGAGAGAGAGAGAGAGAGGATGGAGGAGGAAGAGGAGGGAGGAGAGAAATTGTCCCCACTGTCTCCTCTAATGCCTCCCCTTTCCGAAGCCTTCTGTGAAACAAGATTGCCATTTCCCCCAGAGTTGCTTAGGAGTCTGAGATGATCATCACTTAAAACCAACGCAGTGAAAAGGAAGAAAGCACAGGCACCTGCCACATCACACGAATCCGCAGAGGTCCATACACTCACTCACTCACTCATCAGACCTGTGCAGCAGCCCAGGCCACGCAGACAGACAGACGGGTGGCTCTCAGGGCTGTACGTGGGGGCTGCTTGGTCTGGAGGGGACGACAGTGCTTGTGAGCTAGTCTGAGGTTGTGGCCACACAGCATGTTGTTCGGAGGGACTGCCGCTGAATTTTATACTCCCAGACTGCTAACTCTCTGCCATGTGAATTTTATTTTAATATAAAAATCAATGCAGTCATATTCATTAAATCCTCATGTAGCATCTCCTTTGCTCCTTCTCAACAGGTTGGCACATGCCCTCTGCAGGTGGGGCACATTCCACAATCGGACAAATCTGGTGGCTGACCCTCCAACAAAAGCCAGGACTTTTCACCAGAGCTGGCTGACACTGTGACCCCAGCTGCAGGAAAAATGCCTGGAGGATTTCCAACACTGCGATCTCAGCTGCCCCAGCCCGATTTCTCTCCTGATCTCTGTGCACTGATTCCAGTGCAGCGTCCACCCAGAATAGCCCGGACTCAGGACCCAGTCCTGGCTTCCAGCCCACCCAATCCTGCCCCGGTGAAGGAAACTTTCTCCTTATCCCGCACATCAGGATGGCAACGGCAAAGCTGGAGTCCAAGCCCTGTGGCTGTGATCACTTTCTCCTGATGCTGGCGGTGACATAAAAATGTGCTGAACCCTGGGGTCCACCTAAGACAGTTAAGCAGACATCTCCAGAGGATGTTGGGGAGTTTGAAGAGCTCCCTCAGCTTCTAACGCAGGACCAGAAACCCTGAGGATGCCACAGATAGTATTTGTTTCTGGAATTCAGCACTAAGGTCCATACTACCAGAGAACATCACCCAGCTACAAACACAAGCAGCTCCGTCCTGCCTGGGGTCCAGTCAATGCTCACACATTTGAGCAGGGCAGCTCCAGCAGGACCTGAGGCCTACACCTAGCCAGCACCTGCAGGGACTAGCATCTATATGACCCAGCACCTTCAAGACCCAGCTCCTGCAAGGCTCAGTATCTTCAAGGCTCAGCATCTTCAAGGTCCATCACCTGCAAGGCTAGACACCTGCATGACCTTACACCTTCTGTACCTACAATGGTGTGACCCAGTATCTACAAGACTCAGCTCTTGAAGGGACCAGCACCTTCAGGGCACACCGAAGCAGCCCGTGACTCAGACAATAGTCCCACTGTGGCTAACTGCTTTTATCCCAGCACTTCCCTGGGGCTACCCAACCATCCCCCCACATCTTTTGGCTCACTGCTAGGTGGGTGATTTCCTGGCACAGACAGGGGAACCTTGGGATGCACAGCTCTCCCTGTGGAAGCTACACCTAGCGTCCAAGTGGCCAATGGACATGGTGGTCCTCATGGAATCAAATGCCATTAGAGTCCTCAACCACTGGAGTCCAGGACCCCTGACACTTGCTATCCTGTTGGAGCCCGTTTTTCAGGCAGACATAGAGCAGATGCTGGCGTACAGGGCTGAGTACTGGGTCACCAGCCAGTGCCGGGAGCTGAAGGAAGATTGAGCCCTGACCATATACTGCGTGGTGCCCGCAGCCCAGAAAACCAAAGAGGCCCTTTCAGTGGCCCCAAACCACCCCACCCTCAAGCAAGAAGTCAAACACAAAGTCACTCCCCCACACAGACCCAAATCCTTACTGAAGTATTTGGCAGCGAAGGTTCTTCTGCTGGAAGCAGTTGGCAGCATCTCTAAGCTGGCAGTCTGCAGATTTCTCCCGTGTCTTCTCTCGAAGGCAGCAGCCGCATCCTCAGGCAGACAAGCTAATTCCTGCTTTCAGCAGCAGGCGATCAGCATCTATAGTAAAGAAATATATTTAGAACGCCCTTTCCAGGCGCTTGCCCGGATTTCCAACATGAAGCTGCTGCAAGGGACTCGTTTCTCTGCGGAGCCTGTACCTTGGGGATCCGAGAGCAAACTTGGGGAAGTCACAGTATCAGTTCCTCAAATCTGTAAAATGGGACCAGCAGTGACAGCCGCCTCGCAGAGGGAACAGATGCCAGATGCGTCAGCGGAAGCCAGGGCTGGTGTGAGCCAAGAGCTCTGGCTGCTAGATTCTGAGTTTTCCAAGGAGCCATGGACCTATGGGAACATGTGCAAACTTCTCAGAACGTGTGGGGTGACTTCTGGCTCACATACTGGGGCTTGGGATCCAGGTGCAGGGGTGGAGCCCGGGAGAGCCGTGTCACCTCCTCAGGGTGCCACCCGTCTACTCTGCTTTTGGAAATTTGTCATCATTACAGCATCACTTATAGTTGTGGGAAACAGAAAAAAACCCAAACAAGCAAGCAAACTTGGTCATGACTAGCCAAGTGGCATTTCTGCAGCCATCGCCATCACTCCCACAGCAGCCCCTAGGGACATAAAGCTGAGCTGGGCTCTGAGGTGACGGCACAGTGTCGCCTGTCTTAGCACATCTGATGTATCTGCAGATGGGGGAGCACCTCCTGGGAGGACAATCCCAGAGTGCTCTTCCACTGCTCGCCTTGTCTCTACTCTGCTGGCCTCTCCGAGCTGAGCTCGTAGCAGGCCCGAGGTTACAGAGTGAGCCCTGGTGGATCTTTGCAGCCTGGGCCGGGAGAAGCAGAAACGTGGGGGAGGCAGGGATGTGGGCTGTCATCAGTTCATCTCGATGCCACGGGCCCCGGAAGCCCGGGGCTCTGCACTAGTGGCCAGCGTTCTGTGGGGGCTGGCTGTGACTTCTGGCTCACGTTTTAGCATTTGGGCACAGTTCCTGTCACTGACCAGTCTCCAGGGGACGGCGCCTGGAATGGAGGGGACAGACTGTCTTTGGGGTTGCTGAGAGGAGCAGACCATGGGTAAGCACTAAATTGACAAGGGCCCAGGCCCAAGATGCCAGCATGTCCTTGGGCCCAGGAGTACAGACAGCCCAGAGTTCACAGCTGAGCTGGGAGCCTTCAGGGTTAGGACAGAGACAGTTGGGGCTAGGAAATGAAGACCCTGGAGCTGGTACCAGCCTCAGAGACCCCGATGGGTCTGGAGTGACACCTCCCTTCTGTCCTAGAAGCTTGGAAACAGGTGGACTGGAGTGGGAGCAGGGACATTGGTGGAGCATCTCCCCCCAACCCATTGTAGAAGGAAAGTTCTGGGTCTGGTTCCTAATAGGGCACAAAGCTGGTGTGTGTGTGTGTGTGTGTGTGTGTGTGTGTGTGTGTGTGTGTGTGTGTCTGTAATCCCAGCACCCAGGAGGCAGAAGCAGAGGATCAGAAGTTCAAGGTTATCCTCAGCTACACAGTAAGCTCAGAGCCAGCCTGTGCTACATGAGTCCCTATTTAAAAAACGAAACAAAACAAACAAAAAGCTAAGTTAAAGTTGAATTCATGTGTTGGCTCTTTTAGGGGAAGCATCATCATAACCTGGCGGGCGGGATCCAGCAGGTTGACACTGTCAATCAAGCCCGGGTTCCTTTCCCCTTCTGTTTGCTTCTGCGATCTCTTCCCCCTCTTCTCCCCTCCTCCCACCCTTCCCTCTGGGTGGGGTGGGCTTCAGGGGCTAATATTTCTCCTCTTCCACCCAGCAGGAGGAAAGAGTAGATTTTCCATTCTCAGGAGGACCAAGGGGCTTGTCCCGACCACTGTTAAAACCCCTTCCCCTAAGGGCTTGTTTGGGGACTACTGTTAAAACCCCTTGAGATTAGATCCAAACCAGTGGGTCGTGCTGATTGGCTAAACCCTGCCTGGTCTCCCAGGGAACTGGGCGGGGCTGCTTTCCACAGGAGCAGAGAGGGTTGGCAGGGGAGAGATGGGTGCTGGACTAGACTCTGGGAGTCCATAACTAGTCAGGGCTGAGGGCTCCCAGACCCCTATGTTACTGTGGGGGTGCGGTGCCGTCCCTGTGAACGAGAATCTGCTCCCCACCCTCCACCTCAGCCTTCCCCCACCCACCTTTCTAAGCCAGGTCAAGAGCAGGCCATACCCAGCCAAGTCAAGCACAGCTGGGCTTGCCCAGAGAGTGAGCTGGCGGCCTCCCTGAACATGACTCAGCTCTCGCCATGGCTCCGCACCATGCTCTCAACAAATCGGGTTGCTCTGGACTCAGGCCAGTGCCCCTGTGGCCTCAATCACCCCACCTGCAGGCGCTAATAACAGCTAGCATTGAACTGCAAACCCGAATACATTTACCTGACACCCCACAGCACCCGGGGGAGGGTCTCACTGTGGAATCGTGGTGCTCCCAGCCATACAAAAATTTAATGCGGCCTAGGAGGGGCTCTTAAGTCCATCTTTAAAGTATGAACTCACAGCCCGTGGTCTGGAAATTCGTGCAGCCCCAGCCGCCCACTCACCGCGCACAGGGCCGCTGCTGGGTGAGAATCCTGCTGTGTGCGCGTGAGTCCTGGCTCACCTGCCCCTCACCGCTGCTCACCTGAACCCGGACAGCAGGCTTCTCTGCCTGATCCTGGGGGTGGGGGGCTCCATCAGCGCCTGGAGGGAGCACTCAGGTTGCCGCCCCTCATCTCACCCCATGGGCGCCCTGCCTTTGGTCCTGCCCCGGGCTCCCATGGGATGAACCCGCTGGCAGGACCAGGGGATGCAATCCAGGCTGAACATCGTCAGGCAGGATGCAGGTTTCCTGTCTCCTCGCTGCCTCTGGGGATGATGCTCTGACTGCAATCCTTGGCTGGCCTCTTAAGGCTGCAGCAGCCTCAGACGCTCAGAAAGCTTTCTGGTGAAAGGCTGACCTCTGCGGGAAGTGGCTCGCCGAGGAGGGCCTGGGTTGTCTGGTTCGTGGCGCCCTCTAGTGGTGTCTCGAGGCGCTGTCGCCCATGTTCCGGGACCCTGATTTTGTTTCTGGCTGCTGAATTTCGCTTTCCTTCCAGGGTCTGGGGATACGAGTGGGCCTGTGCTTCCCTGTAGCCTGACCTTCCTAACCTGCACGAACTGCTGGCTAGTCTTGTGGGATTCCTGAGGCTTACACAGATGGATCCCATCAGATCAATCCTCCCGGCTTACTTCACGGTTAGGTCTTGAGGACTGCAGCAAGAAGAGCCCTTGGGTAGCAGAGGAGAGATATGACTGCCTCCTAAGCCATAAGTAATACAGGGTGCGGGGGGATTTAAAAGCCAAGGCCCAGGAAAAGAGTGGAGAAGTGCCCGCACTGCGGGGGCAGAAAGTCCTTTTCCCCCAGGATGGCCCAGCCTCTACTCCCCAGGGCTCAGCAGAGGCGACAGGCATTTACTCTGACTTTGCTGAAATAGGACGTGGACCGTTGTTCTTGGACTGCGCAAGTTCCCAAGCGACTGCGAACCTCACTGGAAAACACCCCACCAGGCCTCTCTCGTGCGTGTAGGGGAAGGAGCTCTGCTGGCTGGGGCTGCAGCTTGAAGGAGGAGACGCCTGAGGTGAAGCTGATTTTGACTCCTGTGGTGGGCACACGCGGCTCTCTGGCTAGTGTCAC